TCAAAAACATTTTGCTCTTTTTGACTGCAACGAAGGTAACGCTTGTAAGCATCTGTCAGCTTGGGTCCAATTGCTACAACTTGATCAGCCTTCTCACACAATTCAACTTCTATTTTTTGCAGTTGTTCACCTTGTGAAATGCTTTTGTACATTCCAAGTTCTTCTGAGGCAGTGTGAACAACTTGAATCCATTTGCATTGGTGAAGTTTTCTAATGGCCTGCGCTTGTTTGCCAAGTGTTACTCCATGTCCTACTACACAATCCATGACATGTCCATCTGGGACAAACATCAGACAGTCAACTGGATTCATACCAGGCAGCGTTTCAGCAACAACCAGCTGAACATCATGACTTGTTGCATTGTTCCTGTCTTCTTCACTGCATTGCAGAAGAAAGACACTAACTTCCACATTGGAGTGTTTAACCAACTGTATGGCAAGCTCTCTGTTGATGGTTGACAGGTCTCCATCAGTTGATGATCTCCACTCACTGCTCAGCAAAGTGACTTTTAGTTTCCTGTTTTCTTGGCCTTCTTGTGATGTAGACGCTACACTAGGAATGTCAAAATCCTGCAAAAGCAAACGAAAGGGCATTCAAAATAATTTGCAAGTTTCCTTTGGGGAATTGCTCATTCATGCGTAAAATTACATATTCCATCAATGTCTGTCTAAATTGGCTGCTCCTAATGTCACAAAGTCAGGTGCATGTACATGTATGAGATGTATCATTTCAAAGTTTCATCAACCTTGTGACTTCTACATAAGGTGTAACTGTCCATGCAATGCATGTAACAAATAATGTTCTCCTTGAAGAATAACTTCTTTTCTTTTTGAAACTCAATATGTACCAGCAAATGACTATTCTGTTTGCTGGTTGTAAAACATTAACCAAATAATTGGGTTTTCCAGTTTAAAAGTCTAGTACATGTAGTCTGATAGTATACCGTTGAACAGAAAATGAAAGATATATATGCATTTCTTAATTAAGCAGCATTTTTCTTCGTGATAAAAATTAAACTACACAGTCCTACAAGAAAATTCAATTATCACATTATTGTTACCTTTGATACATGTAGCTCAGACATCACAGAAGACCTTTAATACTGAATAATGCAGCTAAATAGAAAAAACATTAAAATGTCAAACCATGTTCACTTCCTTTCACTAGGCAATAATTTATGGGTGAGTTGTAGAAAATTAAAAGGTTCAGAAATAGAAATGAGTTCAGTGTAAGGGAAAATATAGAAATGTAAAACATGGAACATTATTTCATAAATCAATGTAAAAAGTGGGAAAGTTGCAGCAAAGAAAACTTGAACAATGAGGCACAGTTAATTTCAACCATTTCCAATGGGTGTAACGCCAAGAAAGCCATGCACTGAATGGAAACTTTTACATGAACATTTGTTGGAGTAAACAACAATAGCAAATTAGAGGAATTACCTTACACTCTTTCTAGTCATCCACAAGAAATATCCATTGTGCAGAAAGGAACCCATTGCAATATTGAATCCCAACATGCCTCCCTCGCCCTTAAAATTGACAATAGAAAAATAATTATTCTAACGAGATGTAAGGAATTAAAGATCAGCATGCATATTCTCTATACTACTTTATCAACATTTCCTAAGATGTTGAGATGGAAAATTTGTTATACAATCAACAACTTCTCTAGTTGGTGATCATTTCCTTTATTCTTGTGACCTTAATGTGGGATTCAGGGGTGATATTGTAAGGAGAACTTAGATGCTTATATCATAATTATAGTCATTCTTAGGGGTTAAAGGGTTCACGGAGAAGTAAAATTACATGAAATATACTCAGATTGCTTTATTTTTTCTACTGAAAATATTTCATAGTTCTAGTGAGTTAGGGATTGTAGAATGATACCCAGAATCTGCATTTCAGACTTATGCCAAGAAGCAGCTTAAACATATTACTGACTCTACAATTGACACAGCACTTTAAAATTGAATTTTAGGATTATTTAATTATTTATATATTAATCTGCTTTCTTACTGAGGTTTGAATGACCAGAAATATTGGCTGGAAGTGCCTAATAGCAGAGTTTGCTGAGCAAAGCACTATAGCTTAGAAAAACTGGTAACTCATAACACCAGGAAAATGAGACTGCACTGTACTCTCACACATCACTTACAA